GTCTTCTTGAGTTACACGCCGGTTTGGCCGCAGAGCCCCCCCCAGTAATAACACCATGTCTGCTCCTAACTCTAGACCATTATTATGGGCCATTATGGCCACAGTCTCAGCTGAGAGGGCAGAGAAGGTGAAGTCCTGATAGCTTATAAAAGCACCCTGGCTTACAGTAGATGGGGATGTTGTAGACCTCAGTGGAAAATACTGTCTCAGTATATTCAGTGTTTCCGGTGATTTTAAGCAAGAATAGCCTTTACAGAACCGTTAACAGTGTACATTTTTAAGTGCTGTATTAGAATGCCCTGCTGCTAATTCTCCATCTACAGCATGTCTTTGTTTTTTTCTTCTGATATTAATTTATTGTGTTATCCGGGATTTTCGCCGCATCTGTCGGCTGAAAGAGAAAGAATGGACAGAATGGCTCCAGGCTCTGGCAGTATATCTGATGAGCTGTCCAAGGGACAAGTTTTCACAGCTTGTGGAATAGATGTAACCTTACAGCGTAGCTCAAGAGACAGAAACCACTGAGCTCACTGGCTCAGAGGGTCATGGTTCAACAACATTGTGGTCTTTTTTTTTCCTTGTTTTTCATGGTTTTGGTCCATGTTGTGCAAAAGGAAAACAAGCACCTACATATACAGTTTGCTTGTTAATTTTTGAGGTTGAAGAAATTAGCAGCTGATCTCTTCAGGTGTTGTGTACAGGTTCGTCGCTATGATGAATATGATTCTATTTCAGGTGTGCATACTGTATAGAGGACCAGATGCTCACAGTTGCTCTCATGCGTGCACATGTTCTTTGAAGTTGGAAACAGTAACAAATGCGCAAATGTTTTTACACGCTGCTCACAGGCAACAACAGCTAAACAGTGCTCCACCCTGTTGTCTTATCTTTGTGGTTGGAGGCAGATAGAGATTATGTGCACACGTGTGTCCTTTTCGCATGCTACTCTGTAAGTACGCGAACCTCTGGGTACAGAGTCACGGTCGACTGTTCTGTCCTCCAGTTAAATGTTTCGTTTGATTGACAGCTCCTGAGAGAAAATACTGGCAAGTACTGAGGCCATCTCAACTCACGCTCAGCTACTGCATACAGTATGCTAAATAATGGCATACAAAAGACTTTTGGGGTTATTCGAATGAAATTGTATATAAAGGAGTTACTTCATTACAATTAGAAAGACGCACAATGTGATATGCCTTATAAGTTTACAGCGCCAGCTCCAGTTTCATGTGTCTGTCTCCCATGTCTGTGTCCCATCCTCACAGCACACATAGACCCCAACGGCCTGTCGCCAAGGCAGATCAAAAGTGACAGCGATGACGATGACCTGCCAAACGTGACCTTGGACAGTGTTAATGAGACCGGCTCTACCGCGCTGTCTATAGCCCGTGCTGTACAAGAGTGAGTATATTCATTTTTTTTGTCTTGAACACACGCCGGAAATCCTGGCGCTGACTTTTTCTCCTTTGCTAACTTTAAAGCCATAAATGAAATGTGGATCTCTGCCATGAGTTGGGTCGGAGTTACGACAACAAGATGCTCAGAAGTATGTGGCTTTGGTTTTTGCGTTCTTTACCAGTGACCGGTGTTAAATTTGGTTATATGAAAGTTTCAGTTTGTTCCACTGGTGCGTTATTGTTAGTGCTGGGGAAAGCAAATTTATGCGAACTACTGTTACTTTGCTTTATTACTGAGCCAAATAGTTAATAATGACAGCACAGCAGAGCTCTTTATTAAAATAAGTAGCACTCTGCATTGCATAAAGGGGAAAAAAACAGCTCACAGAAATAATGCATGAAACTTAATACACGTAAATGTGTTTTATATTATAACATCTTATCATGTGTGCACGCATTTATTAGAGGCTTTTATTTTGAAAATTAAATAATCTTCAATGGATTTAATGTGGTAAAATTGAAAAAAAAAAAAATCCCTTTAGTCATCCAAGCCAGTGATGTTGCAGTCTTGAATTTTTGAATAGACAGAGCACAGAGTACTAATATGTTTTTGTGACTCCCTGGAGGAGGGCGTCATTATCAGATCCATTGTAATCCTTAGCATTGTGCATTTCCGTGTGGTTTTGTAACCGCTCTTCCACTCTTTGGATGTGTCTGCGTGGGCGTGCATCTATATGCCTGTATGCATATGGCTCAGACATACTTTATGCCCTGTTCGGCCTACAGACATCAACTCCTGCTGTGCCAGTCCATCTGTGTTGAAATGAAAAGTTGATGACAGTATATAGAATTCTTATCAGAGGGAGGAAATCAGATGCAGAGAAGCATTTGGCTCGGCCCTGTCCTTGTTGCGCTGCTGCTCATAAACCCAGAACAGTCATAATTGCCAGCCTGGGTAGACTCAAGTTAATACCCATCAGACTTTTATTTAGACTAACTGTAAGGAAAGTATTCCAGGACTCCTTGAGAATCCTGCTAATGCCATAGCGACATTAACAAGGCTGCCGGCACTCACTGTGTTTTGTAATGTTCTAGCTGGCAGGTTTGACATTGTGTACTAGATGTTGTATTGTTTGTTTGTCATCCATTGGCTGTGTGACCATCTACTGTAATTAACCTAAATGTTTTATTGTAGTTCCAAAGTACAGCACATAATAGTAAAGCTGTGGTTCAGGGGTACAAGTATAGGTTGCTGTGCTTCAGACACACACAAGCACACACGCACCGGAGGACTCAGGTTTCGATGCAGGTTATTGAAAGGGACAGGCGTGCCCCTGAGTGCCACACGTGGGCACCGGGTGGTCAGAGGAGAACAGAGGTTGGCAGGACACAACCTTTCACAGCCCAAGCTTTCACTATGGCGATAAATCACCAGCCAGGGTTAGCATTGCCCTGCCAGGGCCTGCCCACACACTCACTTCTCTGTGTGCAAAGTGCAGACTGTGCTGTGTGGAAACTCCTGTGTGCACGCTGTGTATGTGACTGTGACTGTGACTGTGCGTGTGTGTTAGTGTGAAAAAAAAGTATGTGTGCACTTCTGTAAGTATTAATCCTCCGGTGTGTGTGTGCGTGTTTTGTACTGTATGGATGCACGTGTTTTCTGCACAGTGGACAGAACAGCTGGTTCCAGAAGGAGGTCAGCCATTGTCAACAGGAACACAGACTTGCATGTTTGTCTGTGAAAAACAAAGCAGTCTGTAGTCTTCTTGAGTTACACGCCGGTTTGGCCGCAGAGAGGAAGAATGTGCGTTGTGTGTTGACATAGCACATGCACTCGATGGACATCTGCACCGCAACAGAAGCCGACTTATAAACATATCAGTCCACTGCGTCGCTATATTGCCTTTCTTTTCATTTAAATGTGTATGCCACGCTTGTGGAAAGAGCAGCTTTACATAATTTGGCAGCCACATTTACACAAGCAGTCACCCAGAGAGCAGCAGGGAGGTGAGGTGTAAGGGCGGAGGACGGGAGTGCCTGCAGCCTCCAATCCAGGTATCCATATATAAATAAATGAGTGAAAGGAGAGTTGGGTAGAGAGCGAGTTTGTGTGTATCATGTGCTACTTGGTCAGCCTCCTCCATATTCATGCGTTTCCCTGGGGATCAGAGGATAGGCTATTGTGGGAGAGCGCGAGTGAAAGAGAGGAAGACAGGGAGGAGAGGTGTGTGAGGCTGGGGGCAGGGGCTTGTGTTGGGAGGGTTGTCTCTGTTGAAGTCTGGCGGGTCCCCAAGGACCTGGGGGGCCAGAGAGCAGGTGGAGGGAGGAGATGTGGGCGAGGTGAGGGGTAGTATCCTCGGACAGGTACAGGAATGCCCGGTGGGCAGTGTTCCAGCGCACACATACACAAACTTGAGCACTCCCTTTCCTGTTTTCTTGATAATTCCACCAGTGCCTTGAAGCAGGTCGTGCTGTTGCTGTGCTCAAGCCGGTGTTGTGACCCCGCTGCGGGTGAGGAGTTAGAAATATGTATTGTGCTTGTATTGTGGGAAATCCCTAATACAGGTGACACACACTCATTCCCCATGCTCCCCGTCTTTCTGTCGTACGGGTAGAGCCCAGCGGATGATGAGGGGAGAAAAAACCCCCAAAAACGGGGAAACAAAGGAACAAAAAACAGAGGTTAGCTCTGTTTGAAATTATTCTCAGCTGTACTTCCCATTTCTTTCTGCTACTTCGGGAGACACAAACAGACACATTCATACAAGCATTATGCTGCGGTGACTTAGGGTTCAAGGCAGAGTGAGTTTTCCTCTGGGCTCTAATGAGAAAATAGAACCAATTCGCGGTCACACAAGAACTACATTATAAGCATGAAAGATCGAAAGAGATACATTTTGTGTGCTTTCTTGCATTTAGGATTATTATTAGATTTTTAAAAATGACAAAATTAATTTATGCATCTATAATGAGGTAGTAAAAGTGAAGACTTCTTGTGCGTTTACAACGCTATCGTTGAAAAGCACCGAATTCCTGCCACTTTTTTTTCTTCTTAAATGCTCTTAATTGACATCTATTAGGTTAAATAGTCATATATTATATAATAGTAATAATCAAGCAAATCGCATGACTGTACGTGTATTCATTGTGAGTGTGTAGCAGGAGCTTAAATCAGTAGGTCTAGTAATAACTCTGTCACAGTATTTGGTAAATGGACTGATTCTTATATAGCGCTTTTCTACTCTCTCGGAGCACTCAAAGCGCTCTATACAACATGCCACATTCACCCAATCACACACATTCTCACAAGCACTTTATCTATACTTAGTGCTATCTAATTACATTCACACACATTCATACTCCGATGGACGCATCGGAGAGCAACTTGGGGTTAGTATCTTGCCCAAGGATACTTGACATGCAGACTGGAGGAGCCAAGGATCGAACCACCTACCTTCCGATCAGTAGGTGACCTGCTCTACCTCCTGAGCTACAGCCACCACGATTTCATATTCAGTTCTCTTTAAGCCTTTAACTTTTATGGCTATTTTTCAATTATGCACTGAATTCTGCTCACTGGCTTTTTTGTTGTGACCCAATTTCCTCACTTGAATCATTAAAATGTCATTTAAGCAGGATTAGAAGTTTTCCACTGTTTACCTTTATGTCACTGGTGAGCGGTGGTGAGCAATGGCCGTTCTTCTTTGAGAACTGGAACATTTCTCACTTCATTTTTTTTAATTTTTTTTTTTTTTTACAGATGCACAAAACGTCTATAAATACTCCCACTACTGATTAAACCAATCTGTCACTGAGCTCTTGAAACGCAGCAGCGTTGTAGTCGGTGAAATAATTTATGATGGTTGCTTGTTCTTTGTTTTAGAAGCTGTTGTACTCAGACCTTCCTAAATTATATCATAATCATGAAGTCACTTCATGGATGAAGTCAGAATGTAAACATCCGCCTCATCTGCTCGATGGTCTGAGCTCAGAGTGTTTCCACTGGCTCTTCTCTTTACTTTCCCGGGCAGACACACACACAGAGCTCAACAGCACCTCTGACTCTAAACGGCCCTCTAAATTTTCATCTAGATTATATGTGATGCGGGAACCTCATCAATCAAGAAAAGGAGTTTAACTCTTCGTCTAAAATTCTTCGTTTGTTTTGTCATCACGTTACAGTGCGATATTCCCTGAGCTTAGAGAGTGTGTGAGAGAGAGAGAGAGAAATGAGAGGGGAAATGGAGTTCACTTCATATCTGACCCGTGTGCTCATTTCCTGTACAGCTTCAGATTGGCAGTAAGCCAAGAGTAACAGGTGATCTGTATGTATGTGTGCGCTTCTGTTTCAGTGTATTTATATAGCCTGCGTATAGCTATGTGTGTATCTTTGTTGTGCGTGTATACTGTATCTGCATTTGACTGTGCTTTGGTGTAAGACAGAGAGACAGGAAGTGGGTTGTGTGCGGTGGAGACAGTTCACTGGAGGGCCTGTCTGGCAGCCCCTGTTCCTCTGACATGATTTTAGCAGTTCCTCCTCCCGCTACTCTGCTGTTATTTTACCCACTTCACCCTTTTACCTGTTTCCAAGCCTCACAGCATAAGCAGAGAACCCTGTTAAATATATCCTAAATATATCCCTCCTCCCCCCTTTACAAAACAGAGATGTTCTTGTTTTCGCTCAATATCGTATCTCAGTTTTTCTCGCCAGTTTGCCGGCTGCGTGCACGAGTCATGTGTTGTGTAAAAAGGTGCTCACTGTTGCACAGTCAACAATCATGGGCGAGGCATGAACTTCTGACCGCCTCTTGCTGCCTTCTGGATTTCTCTCTGGGTTGTGTGCTTGTGTGCAGCGCTGCCTTCAGAACACAAAGATGACAGTACATTCAGATTAACTGAAGATATGATGACTGTACTCTGCAACTACGCTCACAAACACTGGCAAGTCAGACATGCATGTGAAACCGCACACACATGCTCACTGACACAGGCACACACTTTGCAGCATTGCTTCACAATGACAAATACAGTAGACGGTGATACTGACTGCTTGTTGGAGAGGAAATGCCAAAATGCAATGAGTACATAAATCACTCAGAAGCTGTTAAACTGACTCAACAACACAGAGATTTTAAAAAAGACAAAAACTTCTTCATCTCACCACTTTTGCTTTAACAATAGTATTGGAACCATACGAATATCAGCCCTCTTACCTTACATACTTTTTCAGAGGTACTTAAGTAGAGTTGCACTGCCACCTGCTGGCAAAGCTGCTGCTCTGCCACCATCAATCTGTCGATCTTTCAATATTCACTGTATACTGTCTTTTTTTGCATTTCAAAATACATATATGTTGATTCCGTTTAGAAATGCACTACTTTTTTACAAGAAAGAGATAAAATGGTTGTACTTATTGAGGGCATCAAAATCATCCACAAATCAGAAGACTGGTGGTTTGACTCCTAGAGTCTGACATGTTGAAATGTCTTTGGGTAAGATGAACCCCAAATTGGTGCTGATACATCTATTGGTGTGTGACTGTGAGCTCTAGATCAAGCGCATAAAGCAAAGTGCTGTATGAACGTCTTTGTGCACTGTGTGCTTCCAGTGTAAATGCATAGTGAGCTCTCACTAAGCACACAAAAGCACTCTGTAAATACCAGTCTGTCTTTTATCTACACACCTTTTCCTCTTTTAACACAATAACTAGTGACGTTACAGCCGGTATGACGGTTATGTCTTATGTTCTTTTGGTTGCATAAAACAAAAACGTGAACCTTTTATTGCAAATGGTAAATATTGCAATAATGCATGTTAAATAAACACTGCAATATTCTTCAGCAGGTTTTGAATTGAAATGTACTGTAAACTTTAATTAAAATGACTGACTTATTCTTCAAAACGTTCAACAACTGCTCTTTATCACGGAAGAAGACAAAGACATCATCAGACTCTAATAATGTTATATGTTGCTACTTTTTGTCCTCCTTGCAGTTCCATGTCCCCGTTCAGTATCGACAGCATACGGCGTCCTCGGAGGTCGGAGTCACCGGATTCCAAAAAGAGAAGAATCCACAGATGTGACTTTGAGGGGTGCAATAAGGTGTACACCAAAAGCTCGCATTTAAAAGCACACCGGAGGACGCATACAGGTCGGTAAATCTATGTGTGAGAACAGTTGTTGTGAAATGCTGTTATTTTATTTTGATTCTGTTAAATGCTATTTGTTTAAGTGAGGTGGCATTTCAGATTTTGAGAAAGTTACCCGGTGTGTCCGCTGAAAACCACTTTAGAGTCTTGACTCGCTGAAGAAGAGCGCCTTGAGGCGACTTTTGTTGTGATTTGGCGCTATATAAATAAAATTGAATTGAATTGAATTGAATTGAATCGTTGAGCAGCTAAACTTATTCTTATCTGTCTCATGAACGCAGTAAGACAAGACAGCATACGGCATCTTGGAACATTTTAATTACTTTTTAAGAAGGCTGAATTGTCCTTAACACGATTTATTTCATGAAAAGTGCTAAAACAATTACAGCCGTTCCTACTGAAACGATCTCCCGTTGTTGTGGATGGACACTGAAGTTATAGCTTCCTTAAATCATTTCAAGCCTCAGAGTCTGCTTCAAGTAAAAGGTGTATACTGATTGTAAATTGTATGGCTCCCTGGCACAACGTTATAGCACCACACAAGAAATTATACATTATTTTGTTCACACATTGAGAAGAACGTTACTACTCTGCACACTGTTTTTATTGTCAAGCATTATTTAAAGAATTGGTCTCGCAGTAGAGTCGTAAAAGAAATTTCTATAAATCATAAAACTGTGGCATATCATGATTAAGTGCATATACACATATGGAGACCATTTATGCAAATGAAATAAGCATGTTGTGTTCATTACCCCAACCGTGTAGATCTTTGATGATTGTGACACCTCACGTTATAAAATCAGTCATTTCTCTCAGGCTGCTGCAAAGCCTGACTTTTCAGCCAGTGCACTAGCTGACAAGCAGTGAACATTAAGCTGTTAGGATAATGGAAAATGCTTTTCCCTGTAAAAGGTCTCTGACCTTAGTCCACAATTAGACTTTTTTTATTTGACAAGGTTTCTATGGGGAAAAAAAGACACGTTTTGCCATCTAAAGTCAAAATTTGAGGTTATTCTCTCCAAATTTCAATTTAATGACTTGGAAATTTAGTTATTTTCTAAAATTTGAGTGATTTTTCTTAGAGGTTTGAGTTAGAAAGGCAACTTTTTGAGATTTGAAATTTAAATTTTGACTTATGGGCAGCAAAGGTGTTGGCTCTTGGCCTGTTATAGAATATAGCCAGTTGTTGTCAGTTGTTTAGCCAATATACAGCAATTTGCTGTTTATTCACTGGAAATCATATAGACTTTAAAGCCAGTTTGAGGTCCAACAGTATAGACTGCTCAGAATATTAAGATAACACTTGATCAAATTCATGTTTCGTTTTTTGCTCTGACTTTGAATCCAGGCTTTAAAGGATTGAAGATTTTGTTTTTTGCTGACCACTGTTGCATCATTTTGTGCTTCCACAGTCTTTCAGTGAAGACTTTCAAATTGAATATTTCCCTGTCGAAATCTGATGCGTGACTTATATGTTCCCGTAATCTTTTTGTGTTTAAATATTTTCTATAATATCTCATCAGACATCCATACCATTTTAGTGACTTATATAGATTCTTGAAACTTGTGCGACTTGTGCACTACCAAAGTGGACATTAGGTTAGCGGTAATTCATGGATTATCGCTCATCAAGTGCAGATTTTCCAAATTAATTTGCCGGAAATGCGACTGAACATGGACTGTGTTTTCTGACTTCCTTTCCAGGTGAAAAGCCATACAAGTGTACCTGGGACGGTTGCACCTGGAAGTTCGCCCGCTCTGATGAGCTGACGAGGCATTACAGGAAACACACAGGGGTGAAGCCCTTCAAGTGTGCAGACTGTGACCGCAGCTTCTCCAGATCTGACCACTTGGCCCTGCACCGACGGAGACACATGCTGGTGTGAATCAGACGGAGCGCGATGAAGAGAGAGATTGAGAGGTCAACGAAAAGACACACACTCACATGCATACACAGACAGCCGGGGGAGCGGGATCTCCCTGTGAATGTTTTCAGCCGGCCTGGACGCGCACACACACACACACACACACACACACACACACTATCACACTCACACCCACGTACAGACACAGACGCACACATGCGCTCATCCTTCATAAGGAGAGAAGACGGAGACAGAGAAGACTGATGGATGAAGGTGCACAGAGCTTGAGGAGCACAAAACAGGGTCACTTCTGGATCCTCTTTGGTTTGGAATGAAGAGACGGCAGGATCTTTTATTGTCTTTGCTTGGAGTATAATAGGGAACTGTCTTTTACAGCACTGTTCGTAAATGTTTCACTTTGATTTTTAAGATTAACTCTTTATTTGGACAAAAAAAAAAGTATAATGCAATTGCAACTGTGTCTTTTTTTTTTTGGGTGTCTTTCTTTTCATTATTGTTCCAAACGGCTGCTTTTCCAGCATTCATAATGTGAAAGACCCCGTTGTAAGGAATGGATTTCCTGTGTGAGCAGGAAGAAGTTTGGCCTCGACTGGATCACGGGAACGGACTTGGATGTAGTTGAAGTTACAGGTAGTGTTTTTTCACCACGCCCCCCTGTGTGAGTCTGATTTGTGACCAGCAGGGGGCACCATTTAATCACAAGTGGTTTCATTTTCCTGCTGGCTTCTGCTCTTAGATCTGAGGCATCCCTTGTAGAAGCTAAAAGAAGGTCGGACTTTCACCTTTCTCATCGCCTGCAAACTGTAATCAAGATAGACTCAAATGCCCACAACCCGAAAAGATCAACCTCATCAGCACCTCCACTTTTTCAGCCATTCAATGCCTGTTTTCATAAATGGAAATAGGACTTGCATATCATCGCACCAGCACACACCATTGATGATCCACTCACATGGCCGGACAACTCCAAATCTCATCAGTGCTGTTCTTTATGTTTATGTTGAGCCTCTTCAAAGCATTTATTAGAAAAAGGAAAAAAAAAATCTGGTGGATTTTTAGCTGTGATTAGCAATCAGTAAAGTGCAATCTTAAAGGATAAATATACTTCAGTATAAAAATGTTTTGTTTATTGGGTTTTTGCTTCTTTTTTAATGCCTGCTTATTGCTTATGTTTGACTCAGAAAATACAACCCCTCATGTACAGTGAACTGAACAATCAGAGGAGATTTCCAGTATGTGAAAAAATAGAGGCACCTTACAGACTTTTACTGTGTCCTGACATTTCTCATTTAAAAAAAAAAAAAAAAGTCATTCACCTCTGTCGTTTTTTTCAGCTGGGTTTAACAGAAAAAAAAGGAATTTGTGTTGTGGTTTTGCACAGCACTGCAGCACTTGTCCATAAAATGACACTGACACCAGCTGAAGTGTTACAGGGATAGTGTGGCACCTGGTGTACAATACAGAAGAGCAATACATTCTGAACAAAGTGATGAGAAGGAACATTAAACCTCCTCTTTGTTCTGTTTGCTGATGTCAATATCCGAGGAGAAGTTCCCAGCTTGGCCACCTCCTCACGCTCTGTACCACAACTCCCTCCGTTACTGACTGGTTTCTAATCTGATATCTCCCAGCTGGTGATTGTCTCCACATGTATTATTTCTATTCCTGTCGTTTGTCTCAAACACAAACAAAGTCACTTGAAATCGCCTCAGACCAGATATAAGTTATGATTTATATCTGATTTACCTGAGATTTGGTCATGTAAAAAGCTGAAAAATGCAGGAATTGCACACATGCATACACAAATACATGCACACTGTTTTTTTCCGTTCTTTTTTTCTGTGTGTGTGTTTGTATTCACAGCAGGAGTACCTTTTAGAAGCAGTTTCCGGCAGAGATATATTTATTGGAAAGCATCACTTAACCTTAATCAGGAAATTCAATTAAAAATATATTTTTATAGACCTAACAACAGACATTTTTGCAAGTATTTCCAGCGCTCTTTATGCTACGTAAAAGCTTCGGACATAAAATATCAGGCCAACCAATGTTATTCGATAATGCTGCCAAATGCATCTATTGGACCTAGGCCAGTAAAAAAGAAAAATGTTAACCTTTTCGATTACGGTACCTTGAAATCCATACACTTGCACGCTAATGCACAAACTTGGATTCCACATTCTCACTTTCAGTAAAACAGCCAAATCCAGGAAGCAATTTCTGCACGGAAGCGTGCGACGCCCTTCTCGATTTGTTGGAGAACGCATGTTGTCATTATTTATCTGTATTGTTTGTGCACGACATTATGCCCAGTTGTATTAGCATTTTGGCAAAACCATATCAGCACCTTGTTTATTTGTTTCGTATAATATTCAAATGATTTTATTTCAGATGTCAATTTATAAGCGAGTAATCATCATCGTATTTTATCATCCTTATAATGTATTAGAGCGTTTTTATGATTGAGGGGCACGTCTTCATTTGCATATAAATCTTTCTCTTCTGTACAAAGGACATTTTGAAATGTTGTAATATATGTGATAGTGAAGATAAAACTTATTACAAAGTTCTACAGCCTGTACATACATTGGAAAAATAGGGCTTTTGATTAGTAGATGCAGGAAATACATTTATACATGTAAAGTCTTTTTTCAGAGACTGTAATTTATCTAATTTGATATACAGTGAAATGGGGCTAATGGTATTCATCATGTAAATGATCATATGTGATGTTATAGAACAGATTGCTTTTTATTTTCTCTTTGGTTTGTGGTTAAACACATTCATGATCAAATCATTTTTTTTTTCAGTTCCCGAGGCTGAACCAGTGTTTGCTAGAATCGACCAATTATTTATACACAGTATTAAGGTACACAATTCCCTGTGTTGCTGTTTTGCTATACCCGACAAGAAATTCTACCGATCAAGCACATATCAGCGACACATGTACTCCTGTATTCAGTATATGACGTTGCATGCCTTAATACACCAATTTCTGAAAATCTCAATTTGACTTGAAGATGGTGTCTCCATAGGACAGGGTGTATTGTATTTCCCTTCAGCATCTCTTTCCTCATATTTTAAAGCATAATTTTGTTACGGTAACCAGGGTCAAAGTTATGCAATAATAATAATGAATAGTGCCTCATATCACAAACTTGTAATATCAGCTGCTCTGTGCAGAGCTTCGATTTCAGCACGCGTGCTTGGATTAATAAATTTCAAACGAGAAAACCACGAATTCTGGGGGAAAAAACAAGAAGCACAGACAACATTATGCAAGTCGGACCTCTAATGTTGAACTTTCTTTTCGCACTGAGCCTTATACCATTGTGTACAATGCAGCATCTTCCCATAACACTTTCACAGGCTGTTTATAGCACACATTATTACTTTGCTTGCAATAAGTCACTTCCTCTAAGGGTAACAAAACCGAGTTACAAAGGTCTCTTGGTGTTTCAGCTTCAACACATCAATTCAACATAGTGATTCCATGGAAGATGATGAGGAATCATACTCACAGGAAAAAAGAAAAAAAAAAAAGAAAGGAAAAAATATCCTGTGGCTGGGATTCCAGCAGTCACACCTCTCTTAATGAATACTTATCTTGCGGTTTCTGTAAGTTCAATATATATTTTACTTTCTGTATAACATCTGCTTTTGATTTTCCTGGTTTTGAAAATTTAGGTAGTGAAGCCAATGCCTTTGTTTCAAGTTTGCTGATATTACGTACAGTAATCGTTGTTCCTGTATTTATGTAAAGTGAGTGTAGTGTAAATATATTCAGATCTTTTCATTCTTACCGTAAAGAAAAATGTGATATTGCTCAACATCGCTTCAAAAAGGGAGATTCTGCTCATGGAATTCCACATCTGTAACAGAAATTTTTAATCCTGATATTTTTCAAAACTTCAACAACAGATGTACTCTTTTTTTTTCTCCTTTTTTTTGTTTCCTTTTCTCCGAGAGTTGTTTAAGTATCCAGTCAGTGTTTTTGCCTTTTTCTCTGTATTTTTCATATGGATGGAGCTGTGAAATTAAAATAAGTTCAAACATATACATGTATATTAATATGAATGGAGGCATGAAGGTTAATAAAGTTGCATTTTGTATGTAACAGACTGGGACGGAGCCAGTTGCTATCTATGACTGAGATGGATGGAATGTGGTTTCGGTGTCACTTAGACATCCGAGAACTCCCATTCGCTGGCATTCGGAAAACTAATCTCGCTATTAGGGAAGACGTAGCTGAACAACAGTACAGTGGTCTGTACGCAAAGTTCATCGGATTGCTACTGGATGCGGAAAAAGACATTTTGAATCGTCCAACTAAAACGTTGTGTACCTCGGTGTAATATCACACTGCTTTGTTGTTCTTATGTAGTATCAACAAAGAGTAGTATTTTAAGACCTGGTATTCTCAAACAAGCCTTTTCTGAGAAAAGGTTTCAGCTAAAAGAATGCACCCTGTACTTCCTGTCCTCTGCTCTATTATAACGAGGTCTGGATGAATGTTTCTGTCAGGCAGCAACGGATTGAGATGATTACAATCAATTCCCACTCCACTAAGCATTTTACTGTGCAGGATCTCACCTGAATGATTTATCACTCACTAGAGTCTGAGTTATGTGGGCTTTACTGTACCATAAGTAATATAAAGCACTGGGAGGAGGGCTGGGGGGGACTTACACTTGTAAATAATCCTCAGAAGAGTTCAGGAGTTCCTCTGCACCCAGGACAAGCTCAGACACCTTCTGTGGCTTTTACAGGTTCTCCTGGTACTTTTTGCAAAAGCTTTGCTATGACTCATGTCAGGGACACCTTCCAAGAGTTGCAAACCAAGAAAATGACTTGTTTTGTTTCGATTACACCAGATTGTTAAAAAGGAAAGTCTTGAATCGGGGTGTGGTCCGGACTAATTAGCAAATTCCAGAAAAACTGGCTCCTCCAACTGGCAAGTGTCCTTGGGAAAGTTAGACAGACTACAAAGGTGCTACATGAGTTCTTTTTATTATCCTTCTAAAACTTTCTAAATCCTTCTAAAATCTGTATTTTCAGCTTGTAACTTAAAAAATAATGGTGTCAATGAGCCACCTTTAATTTTTTCCCTCCTATTTTGCATAAAAAGCATAATTTCTAAAGCAAAAACCGATCAACATCGCCATGCCTGTTTTTGTGCTATTTCTTATTCAATACCAGCAAGGTTCACTGAAAGCAAAAGCTGTGGTGTAAAATTATATAATAACGTGCAATATTCCCGCTCTGCAAGCAACAAAAGATTAGCATTAGCCAACGTTTTCTCAAGATTTAGCATGGAGACATATGGGTAGAGTAAACCTTTTAAATGTTGTGAATAAATTATCAGACATTTCAAAAGTTAATATTCAACACAAAACATCTTTATTTGCACCGTGAGGGACACACAGCTCCATTGGACATTTGATCAGTTTAGGCTACATGTTAATGTTTCAGCTTTGACACAAACTTCTGACCTTTGTGCATATTTATTTATTCAACAGTATTGCAATAATTCACTGCGCTTCTTTCTTGGCTGGATAAACTCGTAACAGCGTCGACTGTAGCGGCGTAATCTAATCCTTTTAGTACTTTGTAAAACAAAAATAAACAAACCTAATTTATTTTAAAAAAGGAAACTTTTAAACTGTAATACAATCCAAAAGAAATACATGGTTCTTTTTTTTTTTTTATTTTAAAACAGCAGATACAAAATATATACATCTTAAATAACAGAAACTTTAAAATTTGTTTTTGCTAAGCCATATTCAAATTTGGTCAGGTAATAGAGATTTCATTTAATGTTACATTGTGGAAATTAAGAGGAACATAGTGGATGGTTTTAACAGGCAGGGGCAGCTTCGTTTTTCATTCATTCATTCATTCAAAAAAACAACAACAACTAAGCAGTTAAAGGCACTTTCAAAAAGGTGTTTGATATTTGGAGAGAAGTCAAAAAAACCATCAACTTTTATAGATGTTCACACTGAAAACATTAAGTGTCACCCAAAAGAAATTCCAGTCAATGTTTTGATTTCTCCACGATGACAACGAACAGGAGAGAGAAAATAAATGTTCCCAAAGATATTGTAAATTGTTTCAGCACTTCGTATTCTTAATATAAAATGAGATCTCGCTGAAAGTTAAACACCACAGTAGTGAAAAGTGTTCACAGAAATCGTAAAATCAAGATGCAACATTTGGATTCATCTGCTGCACGTAGAAAAAAAAAAGACAACCCTCTCTGTAATGACCATGCGTATGTTACAGTGTCAGAGCACAGATAAAGATCATTCACCGTGCTGGTCATTCAACGCTTAATATCTCATACCAAGTGTCCTCATGCTGTAAGCAATGCAATCACCACATGGCTCACAAACAATGCCCATCACCCCCTCGATGTTTATTCTTCCTGCTACCGCTTCAGAAAACTCTGCAACTTGCTTTCCTGCAACTTTAACTTAAGTGCTTTTGCTTTCTATATTACACAAATGCACAACCAACCCGTTGACCTACTAGCTGCAACAACATCCTCCTCCCTCCGGCTAATAGCATACATAGATATCTGCACTTACAGTGTAGCAGTTTGCAGCATACTAAATAAATGCCCCTACGACACATGGGTGACATGATGTGTACAATGAAAACACCTAAATATAAAATTTAGATTTCAAAATGTTTTTGTGTAGAATTAAAATAAAATCTTAAAAAAGATACATTATAGTTACGTTATTACATTATGTTTTTTTTTTTTTTGCTTTTGTTTTTACTAATACCTATGCAAATATCCCCTAAACTGAGGCATTTGTGTGGAAAAAAAATAAGGCAACCATAATATTTGATCTTTTTTACATTATTATTATTTGTATTTGTGGGCCAGCACTGCTAAGATTATCTGCCCCTTTTGGAGTGTGTGAAATAAGTTTCACAGTTTTTAACATGTTTATTTGCTGATATGCATATGATGGTATTTTGTCCAAAAATACAAAACAAAAAACAGGAAAGGAAGATTGATGTTTTTATAGGAGGAGGTTTCTAGCTCTGGTGTCTCTTCATGTGCAGGGCCAGGTGGTCAGAGCGGGAGAAACAGCGGTTACACACTCCACACTGAAAAGGCTTTGCCCCGGTGTGTTTCCTGTAATGGCGTGTCAGCTCATCAGAGCGGGCGAAGCGCCACTCACATCCCTCCCAGGAACAGTGGTACGGCTTCTCACCTTCATCGGGAAGAAGTTGAAGAATAAAGGTAGCCAGTCATTATATATTTAAATATATTTGAATTCCTTCAATATTTAATGTTATGCAGGAAAAAAAAAACCCAAACTACTTCATCCAATTAAAAAAGCAAACTCACACTAAGCCACAACTGTGAGTCATAAATCACACCGTGTCCTGTCTTCGTCCCGGCTCTCTTTATGAGAGCTGCGGGTTTATGTGATTTGACAGCAGTGAGATGTGGGCCAGGTCTGTCAGCAGACAGAATGCATCTGCAAGCCAAGTGCAATTTTTCTGCCTGGCAACGTCACCAATTTCATCCAAAAATAAGAAGTGCAACTCAGAACATTTTACCTGTGTGCGTCCGCAGATGAGCCTTTAAGTGAGATGACTTTGTGTATACTTTCTGACAGCCTGTAAAAACAAACAGATAGAGCTCATTAAGTACTTGCATTTTATATCTTTTTTAATGTTGACAAAATTTAAACTCAAGTTTATTGTTGTTATGGAGACCGAACAGAAGTCTTAACCTGGGACGTCACAGTGGTGAATCCGCCGTCTCTCCAGATCAGGATTATTCCTACGATTGTACTTAACTGGAGCCGATTGAGCCAATACCGGGGACAGCGGGCCAATACCCGACGTTGTTTGAACTGGTGTCAGGCTTGAACGCTGTACTGGTCCAGAACCCGAACTTTGGATGAATCCAGACGTGGAAATTTGATCTTGGTTTTGGATTGGAGCTATGCTGGGTGTCTGTCCAAGATCAATGGAATTGTGGGTCTCAAAATTTAACTTTGAGGCGATGCTGGCTTCGTAGGATGGAGGTGGGGAGAGGTTGTGAAGGACTCCTTTGCCCCTGTCTGGACTTGAAGGCTCAGAGTTTGGCGGAGAAGGTGGCAGATAGGTTGATCCTGGCTGATGGCCCACGCGTCGATTAAATGAAAAACATTCGTTCTGCAAGCTGCTCGCAGGTTTCGTAGAATTCGGGACTGGGCCAGCATGAACATTCCCAGTGGGAATGCTTAACGGGGCTATGGGGATGGGGTTCACCTGCGAGCTGTGAACGAGCTGTTCCAAATCAGAGTTCAAAAGCTGAAATAGGGGAACGTCCTGGAAATCTGGCACTTCCTGCTTGATGACGAAGTTACCACTTGCAGTGTCAGCTGCGCAAAAAAACCCTGGGTATTCAGGGACTGCTGGCGATACTCTGTTCCCCTGGCACGCGGGATGCATCAGAGAGTTTGTTGGCTCCGTTTTGATCTGTCTGACAGTCCTGCAAAGGCCTGGGTGCAGATATGTGACATCGGGAAGTAGCAAACTCATGCTGACGCTGTAAGGGGAGGCAAAGTCCTCGGTGAAAGGTGGCTCTAGAGCCATGGTGCTGTCTCTGCACATCATTTTGGAATTTACTACATCCTGTGGTTGTGAACACAAATAGCTGTCCATCTCGGATTTACCCTGGGAGAGGCAAAACAGAGGAAAATGATCAGGTGAGTCGTAGCAAGATTGTTACTGTGGATGTAAAGACAGCAGAATAGGAAATACAAGTGTTGTGCAATTGATTCAAGCTCACTAATTGCTTAGTTTTAGGACATTTTTCATTCAGATTTATCAAGGTCAGCACTCATCATGCACTCATCTGTTTATATCATTATTTCTTTGGACTTGGAGAAATATTAATTGTGGCAAGAGTTAAGGAAAAATCAGAGCCATTCAGAACTTCCCATTATTGCCCATTTAAGGTACTAGAAGTCTGACAATAACAAAAGTAACTGACGTAAATGAATCTGGGGATGCATGCTGGGGCCTACTCGTGTGCACCCATCCACATCAAAGACGCCTCCACCACCCCCTCCCTACAAGCAGCAGACGCCCTTCTAAAACACTCCAGG